CTGGATGTTACCATAAAGGATAAGGCTCTGTGTTTCATTGGGGTTTATGTGCCCAATAAGCATTCTGAGTGGCCTGCTTTGTTTTGGCAGATCGAGCCGCTCTTGGTGTCATCTCGTTGGGTAGTTTTAGCAGGGGATTGGAATGCCATCTTTGACCCGATATAGATTGTATAGGGTCAAATCCGGGTACTAACAACTCGGACATGAAACCATTGTCAATAACTACCAAAATGAACACCCTCAGGAGGTAGTGTGGACTTGGACTAATAGTGGCGGCTCGGTTACTGAGGTGTGTTCTAGCTACCTCAACCGAGTCTTAGTCAGGAGAGTCGACGTAGGGCTCTTAGGGTGTCCATTATATAGTTTATTTGGATCATAGGTTAGTCCGGGTCTGGGTAAACTTAGATAAGCTTAAGGTTAAGATGGCTGGTAACTGGAAATTGAACTGCTCATTATTTGGGGAGCAAGATTTCCGGGACCAGCTGCTACTAATGATACAGAGGGAACTGATGGGGGCTGTGGTGGGAAATGCCTCATTGGATTAACTTAAATCTAAAATTAGAATGTTTGCTGCTGATTATAGTTGTTGGCTCAATCTACATAGATTATTTGTGCAAAAAGCTTATGAGCAAAAAGTTGATCGGGCGATTAAATCCCGTGATAGTGGGGGATGTAGCGTTAGCTAAGGCAGGGTTGGCCTCCTTGCTTATCAAGAAGGATCAAGCTCTTGTAGTTAGGGCTAGGTTAAAAATAATGTCTTCTGAGGTAACGAATATGGCTGCTGAATTGCGTGCAGAAGAGGTTCGGAGTGCATCTCGTCGACATATCGCTTGCGTCACATTGATGGATAAGTGGACCGTGACAACAAACGAGGCCATATGTGAGGCTTTTCGTGAGTACTTTCAGGAACTTTTCACCAGGGAGTCCGGTCTGAGCCCTGCTCGGTTTGACGCCTATTTAGCTGACTTTCCCTGCCTTGAGGCAGCTGAAGCGGCTAAGTGCGAGGATCCCATTACAGAGTCAGAAATCTGGGAAGCGCTGAAACAGGTTGGCCTGGACAAATCTCCGGGATTAGATGGTCTTCTGTACGAAGTGTACTTGAGGCAGTTGCCTGTTTTTGTTCCCTTGCTGGCACTGATTTTCGGCAACTGGCTGAAGCAGGGGTCTATACCCCAACGCTTCACCAGGTGCGTAATCAAGTTGTTACATAAGGACAAAAACAGTGGGGATGAGTTAGGTAACGTTCACTCCTTCACTATGTTAAACACAGAGTTAAAGATTTTAGCTAAGGTCTTAGCAAACTGCTTGCAGGCTGTCCTCTGTAGTCTGATTGTCTCCGGACAGACTTGTGCTATGAAGGGCAGGACTATTCAGGACAACCTTCATATGGTGCGCTTGATCATCAAGCAAGTTGACAGTGAAGCCACGCTGATCAATTTTGATCAGTCCAAGGTCTTCGGTAGGGTTGACCATCACTTTCTTGATGCTGTCCTTTCGGAGGCTGGTTTCGGGCTGTACTTTTGCACCTGGATCTGACTTCTGTATGCAACCCCCAGTGTGCTGGTGGAGGTGAATAGAGTACGATTGGAGCCTTTCATATTCTCGCTCCATTCGTCAAAGTTGTCCGCTTTTGCCTTTGCTTTACGTTCTTGCATTGGAACTTTTCCTTTGCAAGTTAAAGACGAATCTGGTCCTACACGTAATTTCCCTACATTTTGCTACCACCTCGCCCAGGTATTCCACCTATGCTGATGACATTTCGGTCCTTGTGTTGAGCAGGGCTGAGATTAACGTATTCAGCAAAGAAATCAGTGGTTATGAGATGGTGACAGGATCCAAGATCAATCGCGATAAGTCTGTTGGTTTATGGTTGGGTGCATGGAAGGGAGTTTCTCTTCCCAGACCTTTCTTCTGGACAGATGGGCCGGTCAAGATTCTGAGTGTCTGATTCAGTCCTGATCTTCAGTTGGAAATGAATTGGTTGGAGGTGCAAGAGAAGGCCAAGATCACAATTAATTTGTGGACTCTGAGGAATCTTTCCTTAAAGGGGAGTGCGGAAGTATGTGTTTCACATATCTACCCGATTCTCCTTTACCGACTCTCTGTGTCACTTTACTGGTGCCAGAGTCTCTCAGGAGATCTGTTGTCTTCATCCTTCTGAAGGCGGTCTAGGTATGCCTAGCATTGAGATTCATCAATATATGCTTCGCATCGGGTTCCTGGATCGAATGTGTCGTGAATCGGATGGGGTTGGTACCTTCTGTAAGAACTTGCCATCCTTGAAAAGTGTGCACTCATGTGAGGAGGAGATCCACCGTTTACCCCAAGTCGAGTGCTCCTTCTACCATGAATGTTGTCGTGCTCTGAAGTACCTCTTAGGGGTGTCGGATGGCCTCCCAAATGTCTAGGCGTTGTCTTGTAAGGCATTATATCAGGTATTAGTTAAGGGGGGGGCATTCGTGATGAACTGATTGATGAGCTTGGTCTTATGAAGCAGGAGGCTTGCTCAATATGGCCTTGGGCACCCAGGTTGAAATGTCTCAATAACAATGAGGCATCACTCACCTGGCTGGTGATTCATGGGGCCCTCTGGGTTGTCAAAAGACTTTGCTCAGCAGGCTTGGAGAAATATCCAAACTGCCAGCACTGTAGTGGGGAAGTCAAGACCATTGGTCACGCTGTCTTTCACTGCAGGGTGGTAGTGCCGCTGTGCAAGTATGTTGAAGGCCTCATGGTTTGCATGCTGCCTGGAAAGTTCTTTGTCCTTGAGGTCACTTCTGTTTGTAGCAATGTGGCTCCGCAGTTGACGAAGGCTGAACATTATGTGTTCTTATGCATGCTAGGTGTTATGAGAATCGTGATTTGGATGACACGTCAGAAGGGATTCTATGAAGGCTAGAAGTTCACTTCTTCCCAACTGATCTTAACCTTAAGCTGATGCTTAATGTATAAGATTAGGATGGAAAAGCGGCGACTCACTTCATCAGAATTTGGCAAAAGGTGGGTGAATCTTGTGTGTTTGTGTTGTGTGAAAGGGGCTGACCTGGAGTGGCACTTTGATACTGGTTAGGCATCAGGATATTGCTTTACCTGGGTTGAACACAGGCAACTCATCCCAAAATTAGGTTAGCTTAGGTTTAGTATTGATTCTTTAGTTTCCTTTTTCATTAAACTTAGCTAGGGTATGTATGCTCATTGGCCCCTTTTATTTCTGTCCCTATTTTTCTTTAAGTATAATTCCCCATCCTCTCCCTCATTAGGTGGTCAGTGACATCAGTTCTCTAGTGGATGTAGGGCGTCTTTCATTTTGTATATGTATTTTCGTATTTGTTTTTGTGTCTGAATGAGTGCGCGTCTGTGTGAGTGCTTGGGATGAACGTTTCTTTTATATCATCATAGTAATTTCGTCCACTTAACTGATGTTTCTGCCACATTAAGTGATTGGGGGGGGGGTTATTACTAACATGATTTTGTTTAGTTTCTTGTAAATAGTTATTAGTTCATACTGTAAATACTCATTGGGGCTAGTTTTAAAAATTTTTAAATTGTTGTTTTATTCCCCTCCCTCCACAGATGATATATTGTACATATGGGGACTAGTTAGTATTTTCATTGAGACAATGAGGTATTATGGTGGGTGTGGTGAGAAAGGTAAATAAGAATGTGTTGTTTTGGTGCAAGGAATATTGTAAGTGTAATTGGGTCAGCGTTTGTGGCTAGCTAAGTTTAAAGTTAAGACAGAAGACCGACCTCTTCCCTCTTCCCACCTTGTGCCACATCTGTTTTATTCAGGAATAAATATCCTCAGTCCAGATCTGCTGTTTCAGGTGGTTCATACTGACTTGTTAAAAGGCAGTCATGACTCTGGGGAGGTAGACAAGTCCAACCTTGTGTATGCTGGGTCTATGGGGAATTTTTGCCTAAGCCTACAGGCTCAGATTTACCCCCACATAAAATAATGGCCTTGTGCCACATCCTGTCTTGTGGAGAGGTGAGGCAAATAACCTCAGTTCAGATCTGCCTTAACTACTAGATAGACATACTGTGTTTACTTGGTCGACTTTGCTTTTGTGCACAAACACCAACTCCTAGTTTGTGAATTTTGTTGCCTTATCAGTTTTGATTTGCTTGAACTATATTGTTTGTTTGCTTGCTTGCATGATTGTTGCTGTTTCATCTTTTTGACTTTTTTCTTAGCATGATTAGAATTAATAAAGTTTGCAATCTTACACTTTAACAATGGCTTCTAACTCCTCAAACATCATTTCATTTTAATTTATAATATAAGGAATGACTGAAAGCAGAGAAAATATATAAGCAGTTCTAAATAATATAAACTGACCCAAAGATCAATTTCTCTCTCAAACATTTAAAATATGTTATTCTTCAAGAAAAGGAAAATATTTTTGATTTATGGCTAAAGGAATGAACATTACAATAAACTGTACTATTTTTTGTACAAAATTATGCAGTAATTAGATTATTTTTTTTCTTAATATAAATGTTATATAAAAATTTCATTAAACTTTATACAGCAAAATGGAATTTTTTTTTTTTTTTTTTTTTTTTTTGACTTATTCTAAATTATTATAGCTTTATTATTTGGATCGTATGCTCATACTGATTGTTATACTCTCAATATTTCTTAATCTTTAACTTTTTAGGAATTTTGAACTGAACCCTTTATTCAGTTCATAGGAATAGTTTCTCATTTCTAAGCTTAGGGGAGATAATGGATATCAATTAATATTAATCAGTTTTATTGTGTTACTTGCCCAATTTTTCAGATCTAGGGACTGAACTCTCAATTGCCTTGCCAGGGAATCAACTTTAACCCATATAATCTAATCTTTAACCCACACTCAAAATTAACATGCTGGTCTAAATAGAGCCTATAATAATACTAATTCTTCATCTCAAAGATTCCAACATAAATTGTTATAAATTTTATAAATTAGTAGGTATTTTAAGTATTATATTTATTGAATTTATCTTTGTAGGTACCATGACTATTGGTGATATAGTTATGGTCAATGGCCTGTTGTTTCAACTCTCTTTGCCTCTTAACTTCCTCGGTTCTGTCTACAGAGAAGTACGACAGTCACTTATTGATATGCAGACCATGTTTAATTTACTTAATTTGGAATCCAGTATAAAGGTGAGTTTAACTGACAAAGAGCTTCCCAGTTCAATCCTTTTTTTCTTTTTTTTTATTTTAAATAAGAATAGCAGAACAGAATACTACAAAAACCAATAACTGTTAAAGTTTAGCAAACTGTTTGAGCTTAGTTATTAATTTAATAAATTGTTACTAAAATAATGCATCAAGCCACTCAACAGGCTTAATGTGGTGAAACTAATTTCCAGAATTTATAACAGTATATTCATAATCTTTTACTGCAAATATAAGAATTTGAATTTTAGAGAAGATATAATAAATTTGTCATGCTTGAAGAAAAAGAAAAATTATGTGCCTTTTAATAATCCTGGAAGTTCATATTCCAATATAGTTTTTGACACAATATTGCAAATATAATTGATCTTTTAGCTATTTTCTGAACTTACTTTTGATTTTGGTGGTTTGAACTTGCTACTCAGTAGTAATGATTTGTAATACCAGATTGCTAACCATTACCACTGCAACAAGGCACCAATGGATCTTAAGCATCCTATTATTAGTGTTGTCTGCTTTTATTTTCATTGGCTATTTAGATAAATTCACTTAAAATGTACAATTTCTATAAATAGTATATTTGTTTAATTGAGTAACAGCTTATTTTAGTTATATTTTTAGTGGCTATACAATAGTTGTAACAGGTAACTATCAGTTATTGTATTTTTTCATTGTTGAAGATGCATATTTGTTGTTTAAATTTTAGAAAAAAGGAAAATGCCACAGCTCTTTATCTTTTAGTATGTCCTATTTTATTTCTTTATATGTTCTGAAAATATCATCTTTTAAGGTGAGTTAAAGAATGTCAATTGTTGATAAACAGGCATCACCTGTTTTAGGTTAGCCAAGTGTGACTTAATTTTTAAATTATTTTATATAATGTAATTTACATAATTCATTCTGCATTCATATATTGGTGTTTGGATTACAGAGTAATATATCTTCTAAGTTTATGATAAACATAAGCTTTAACTTACAAAATACAAAATAAATTTATAATTTCTGGGGAAAAATATCTTTGGCAACAAGAAATATAATTTTTCTAAGTTTTAAAAATATTTCAATTAATTTTTAATTCTCTTATAAAGTGGAATGAAGAAAATGTGATAAAATGTGCCTTAACAGTGACTTAAACTTCTAATATGTTAAATTATATGCAAAACACTTTAATTCCTCTTTTGGACAAGTATAAATATATATATATATATATATGAAAATGATGAGACAAAGTGGAAAAGCTTATAGATGAAATGTTTTGCCAAATGTGACATTTGTTGAGATTGGCTTCTTCAGGATGGAATGAAAGACAAAACTGTGCATAAGAAAAATGCCTTGAGGATAAGAGAGGCATTAAATTACCTTACCAGATCTGATGACCAGAAAGTGATTGTTTGTTTTTAATATTATATTAGTTATTGGATTTTAAATTGTCTCACTCCAAGTAGATCTGTTTATATATATATATATATATATATATATATATATTATTTAACTTCAGACTATTGCCCTCATCTTTGTTGTTATTATCATAATGTTTTGACTGTTGTGTTCACCAGCCTTCATCAGGTGTATAGCGATCCAGGTAATTTATAGGGAATTCTGAACTGAACTCTTTATTTAATTTACAGGGGCAGACTTCCTGTTCCACTGCCCTTCTTCAGGGATATCTCATTTAGTTCTTATTTTTAGTACTGCTCAGTTATTGCTTGCCCTGTAAATAGTAAAATAAATGAAATGCCAATGCTCTCTGCAGTGTTGTTAGTTGCATCATTGCATCAAATTAATTAGTATTCAATATCCATAATGTAGTATAGCCACTACATATATACTTTATACAAGCTTTACCAGAAATGTACAATCCACTATGTTTATATTTCAAGAGCTCATTCAATGTTAAGTTTAAATCTTTTTATCCACTTTTATTTTATTTTCCTATATACCAACAGGAAGATGAATTTGGCTACAATCAACTTGTGTTTAATACTTTGAAACTGTTTTCTCTGTAGAACCAGATCGAGGCACCAAAACTTGAAGTTTCTTTTGAAGAATCTGCAATTACATTCAAAGATGTATATTTTGAATACATGCCAGGTCAACTGATTTTTGAGAAATTGTCTTTTACTGTTCCATCTGGAAAGAAAGTAGCCATTGTTGGTGGAAGTGGATCAGGGTAATTTTATTCTCTTTTTTCATGCTTTATAAAAATTTAAAATTACAGAATACTTTTTTTTTTTCTTTCTCTCTATGTAGGGTGCTGATGAATATCTGGTTTGATCTACTCTTCTAAATCTGACAAAATGAACAAACATCAGACATTTTTTTAATCCCCACTTGGTTAGGTTAACAATTTTTCAATATCCCCATGCAGAATATTGGTTTTATTCAAGAAACAGACAAGCTTTGTTTTAATAACTTTTTTTAGTGAATGCTTTTTTTTAATGTTTAGTTCTAATGTATGTAGAAATTATAAAAGACAAAATACGCCATGAAAAAAATATGTAGGTATACATTACCAATTGATAATCATTTCTTGTAGAAAAATTAAACTCTTAACCTTAACTGGCCCTCAAAAACCCCATTAAATAAGACCAATATAATATATGAAGTCTCTCTCTCTCTCTATATATATATATATATATATATATATATATTAAATGAAGGTTTAACAGTAATTTTGAATATGAACTTAATTTAAATGAAACTTATAGTTTGTTTCAAAGATAAGTCCTTTGAACTTTCATTTATGTGTGTGTGTGTATATATATATATATATATAAGGGAAGAGGTTATAGTAGTTCCAATGAGAGAAAAGTGTGTATATTAAAAAGAAGAGAGAAACCACAAACATTTTTGGTTGTAATGTGGATTTTTAAAAAAAATATTATGCTTTATTTTCCATAATTTTGCTACACATGTTTCTGGTCTCATGACCTTCATCAGGCAAACCATAGAGATTTCCACATATTATTAAAAATAATTAATTTTTTTCTTATGTTTTTCGATGTTAAATATTCTTGATATGGGACATTCTCTTTTTTGTCTGTTAGTAACCCAAACGTCTTTCTTGAATTGGTAGTGACCTTACATTCAGACCCAGAGTAGCAGGACTGGCCTATCCAACTAGCAAACTCAGTAACCTAATAGACATAGTATTACAACTATTTACTAAGCAAATTAAAAGCCACATCAGAGACGATATTCACTTCCTTAGCTGCATACCACAAAAAGTAAATCCAGGAACATTTATGGCAACTTTTGACATTAGTAGCCTATACAGCAACATACCCCATGAATTAGGTAAAAAGGCAATCTCATTCTGGATTGAAAAACATCCAGAAATACTACATCCCAGATTCTCTAAGGAGTTCATTATCGATAGTATAGACCTAATACTAAACAATAACATCTTTTGAATTTGACAACAAAAAGTATATCCAAACCCTAGGTACTGCAATGGAAAAAAAAATGGCACCAACATATGCCACCCTAACATTAGTTTACTGAGAAGAAAACCTCTATGAAAGGATAGAACAAATATATGGGGAAAATATAAAAACCCAATTCACTAAATCTTGGAAACAATACTTAAATGATTGCTTTATTTTCTGAAAATCCTCATGGGGTGATATTAACCAATTCCACACTCTACTTCAAAACTTACACCCAAAAATCAAATTCATGCAAGAATATAATTTCAATGAATTACCATTTTTAGATGTACTCATTGGAAATAAAAACAACCACATAATCACAGATATCTACCACAAACCTACAGACACCCAACAATATTTTCATTTCAAGAGCCATCACCAAAGAAGCTGCCTGAAATCCATCCCCTATTCTCTAGCATGTAGGGTTTGTACTATAGTGACTAATAAACACCTCCAAAAAACCTGCCTAGGAGAACTACATAAAACTCTAAAAAAACAAGGCTACCCCACAACACTGATAAACAAATGTTTTGAACTCGCAAAAAAAATTCCTTTAGACCAACTTCGAAATAAAAAGAAACATAACGTTGAACAAATCTCACATATGTCTCGACATACAACAAAAACAATCCGGAAGTATTCACAGGAATTATAAAAAATCTAGACCTACTTCACAAGAATAATAAACTGAATAATATACTAAAAACAACCAAAATAATTAAAAGCAAACGCCAATCTAAAAACATAAAACACATATTAACCTCATCCAAATTTAACCAACACACAATACAGGGAGTCACAAAATGCAACAAAAAAAGATGTGGGGTTTGTGACATCATTATAGAAGGAAACTCCTACACTTTTGAAAACCCCAAAACGACATTCATAATAAATAAAAACTTAAACTGCAACTCCAAAAATGTGATTTATGTACTCAAATGCAAGAAGTCATATATAGGTATCAGCCAACAACAGAACAACAGGATCTCCCTACACAAAAGCAACATAAAATTACCAGACAACAGAAAACTTTTTGTATCACAACACATCTTTAAATGTAACCAGAGTAAATTTAAAATTATGCCAATATATCAAACAGACAATTATTTTTACCTACAAATACAAGAAAAAAACTTCATAAACAAATTTAAACCAGAACTAAATAGATCATAAACCCTCATGCAAAAGCACACAACATGCACACAAAGTGACCAAATACAGTGATCAAATCACTCACATGCTTCCACGCATGCTCACATGCGGGTATCTGTAGGGCATGAAAATATATATATATATATATATATATATATATATATATATATATATACACACACACATGTTGACAAAAGCAGGGGAACTACTCATGGGAACGCACATAAACCCCATACAATTTAGGAAGTACGTGTGTATGTATGTACGTATATATGTGTGTGGGACAGTGTGTGTATATGTATGTGTACAAATGTGTTTACTAATTCCTCATAGTGAGACAGTGTATGTATGGAGGGGGAATATACACATGCATATATACATGCATGCTGACAGAAACACACGAAAATGGAAATAGATCTAAGAACACACAGGGGTCATTAAAACATTAAAAGATAAGATACCGATAACTAATTCATCATTTCTCTCGGACCAACCTTAATTGTTTTATGACCCTTCGCGCAGAACTCTTCACTGCCAATTCAAGAAAAACATTCGGATTACTAACACAAAAACAGAGAATGTCTCATATCGAGAATATTTAACATTGAAAAACATAAAGGAAAAATTATTAATTATTTTTAATAATATGTGGAAATCTCCGCCCTTTACCTGAAGACAGTCAAGAGGCCAGAAACACGTGTAGTAAAATTATGGAAAATAAAGCATAATATTTTTTTTAAAAAAATCCACATTACAACCATAAACGTTTGCGGTACCTCTCTTCTTTTTAATATACACACTTTTCTCTCGTTGGAACCACTATAATCTCTTTTATTTATTTATATATATATGTGTGTGTGTGTGTGTGTGTGTGTATATATATTGATATAATAGGAAAGAACTGTTAGATTGATGATCCGAAGTTCTTTAGTATTTTTGTTTTTATTTCTAAAAAACAGTGCTCGATACACAAGTAGAGCCTAGATTATAATTATTTTTTAAAAAATATGATTCCATTGCGACACAGAAACTACTGTTTCAAAACAAGGCTTGAGGATGAAACTGCCACCCAGTGGTAAGGTTTAATATTGGAATTAAACTTAAATACTGCTGACCAGTTTCGAAACACAGTAATTTCTGTGTCGCGATGGAGTCATATTTAAAAAAAAAATATATATATATATATATATATATATATAATGCATTCAGCAGAGGAGAACTGAAAATTGCTTTTTTAACTGCAAATTATTCATTATATCATATTCAAGTATTTTACAAGAAATTAGAGCTGATTACACAATATTTCAAGCTCAATTTAGGTTTATAGTTTGCAACCACACAATAAGATAATATAAAGCATAGATTTTTCTGTGAAATATCATTAAATTATTGTTACATAATTATAGAGAAATCATTAAAGTTTTTAGTCAAAAACATTTTTTTGGGTCATATAATTTAAAATATTCCTTTCTACAGTCTTTATTTTTTAGATGAAATAAGATCATTTTAAGTTTCAGAATTTTGCTATTGTCCATCAAAATGACTGAAAACAATTTAAAAACAACAATGGAAAAGAGAGGTAACACAGCATAAACAAAATAGCTCTAGTTTGTTTAATCTAGGAAACTTAGCATTGTAACCAAAATATTCTAAAATGGTGCCAATAACAAAGAAAATGAAAAATACCTAACAAATATAATAAGGCATCAAAATTTATATTATTTTTATATATTTGTTATGTAACTAAATAGATAATTGTCAACAATGTTTCCCTAAAACTAGATATTTCCTGTAATAAATTCTTAATATTATTATTTTACTTAATTTACAATTCCTTACCACTAACCATGAAAAGAAATTTTGATCATAACTGCCTAAAACCTTTAAGTGTGTATTGCTGCAAAATTATCATATGTTGAATATGCCCCTCCTCTGAACACACACACACACACATATATATATATATATATATATATATATATATATATATATATATATACAACAATGGCCTGGGGGTAAGATATCTGATGTCAAATAAGTCAGTCGTGTTTCGATCCTGTCTTGGATGTCTAGCTCTAGGAGCTGTGATACAGTGAAATAGTCAGTCTGTCTGTGTAATATATATATATATATGAATTTTAGTTATTCTGTCCATTTTGTTTTGGTTCAATTTTACCAATGTAACATCTACCACCAAACCATATTCCTTCACTAACTCTGAGAAAATCTCCAGCATTCTCCTTATCAACATCTCACTTGTAGCCTTGGTATTGACCCTTGCCTTGCTAGTTAAAATATGTGAGTCATTTCAAATAATACTCCAGCTGCCAATGAGCTTGTGTCAACTCGCATGTCAAATTCTTTCCTTGACATTTATGCACAATTCACTCCTGGTCATTGTTTCACTGCCTACAATCTGTGTGGAATAACATCTGTTTTGTCATCCTGCCCTTTTGTTACCACACTTCATGATGCCGGTTGCTAATGCAACCATCCACTTACTGGAATATGTCACACAAGACTTTTCTTCTGATAACTGCTTCATGGACATCTGGGAGTACATTTCACCATTTCCACTGCAAGATGC